CCCTACCTCGAGCGCCCCCCACCATCCGCCTGCTCCCACTCGCCGCCTGTTCTCGCTCACCGAGTCCTGCGCGAAAAATTCGCGCGCACACAATTTTGGGCAACTTCCGGTACTTCTAAATATGCTTGGCCAAAATTTCCGATGTCTAAGTGTTAATATTTTACTTTATTGATTTAATTATTTACTTTAATGTATTGAGATGTAATTATTTACTTTAATGTAATGAGATTTTCATTTAGCCTTAATTTTATATTTTAAATAAATTTTGAAAGTAAATCAAGATCCAATAATATTTAGTAAAAATCGAGGTGCTACACGGGTGTCTAGTTAGCACCGCATTTTCTTAAAAATGTCTTAAAAATATTTCAACAATAGGCTTTTTTAATGGTTCTTGAGAAGTTCTATAGTTCCCGGTCTCGTTCTAATCCAAACACCTAATTTATTCATATTTCAATCTGAACGTAATTTATTTTCGATAGTCTACAATTTCTATTCAATTTTTATCTACTCCGTATATTTTGCGAGATTTTCATTTAGCCTTAATTTTATATTTTAAATAAATTTTGAAAGTAAATCAAGATCCAATAATATTTAGTAAAAATCGAGGTGCTACACGGGTGTCTAGTTAGCACCGCATTTTCTTAAAAATGTCTTAAAAATATTTCAACAATAGGCTTTTTTAATGGTTCTTGAGAAGTTCTATAGTTCCCGGTCTCGTTCTAAGGGTTGCTTTGGGAACCAGCGGTGAGTAACGGAGAACCTCTGCCCGCCAAGCTACGCATTCATGTTCATGTTTAGCTCGGCTACAACGGGATTCGCATTGTCGACGGAGGCGATGATCGCAGCATCCTACTTCCAGACTCGCCGCTACGATTTAGCTCCATGATTTTGGTATCGCCTAAAATCGTAGCATTGTGCATCTCCCTATTCATCTCTGTCGCGAATATCACGCGTAGCGTTACTATATATGGTTTCGCGTTATTAAGCTATCTAAGAATTCATATACTTTGGGAAATTAAGGTAATCTGTATTGTTAAGAAAAAAGAGTGGTTTCGGTAATTCTAATGTATTAGAGCTATTCGTAACGAATTATTTTTTGTAACTAAATGATATACCTTTGATTTTAATTCATTGCGTTTAAGTAATTCGACAAGAGATGTAAATAAATTGTAATCGATCGATACGAATAAAATATTATACGTATAACGACTAGTGTATATTTATTAGTACCTACCTTGGTTAGAATAAGAGTAAAAAAATTACAGCAGGAAATGTGCTTTGTAAGTAAGAATGTATGAATGGAATAAAACTTGGAACAATGGTATTCTCCCTACTCATCTCTGTTTTTTAGTAGCTGTAAGTATTTTCGTCCGTGGATAGCATCTCGCACTACTTCGACGTTCTAGCCAACGATGCTCGCAGCACTCTCGGCTGATCTTCGAACGCAGCTGTCCTAGGTGTGTTCGCAAGCCAATCATATTGTTTACGTTTGGAATCGAACTAACAGAAAATCAAATTTTACGTGTTATTTAAAGATGCTTCAATAAAATAAATCATATAAAATCTGCTTAGTTATTTAAAATTTCAATAAAAGAAATATCTTTCTGTTTTAATGGATATTTGTTAATCATTGCACAGCAACAGCTGAGCAATTAGGAAAACATATGGAGCATTTAAGGAGCAATTTTTTTAGGCATTATAAACATATACATTTTTACTTTCCCCATCTAACTTTCCGACGGTGGCACCTGGCGAAGCAAACGTCTACCGTTTATCGAAGTAGTTTCGTTACCATCTGAGTTTTACCGCTATGTATCGTATGATAATTGTGCGTATAGATGGCAAGGTAACGGTTCAAAAAGCTATACCATGTAAATATATTTGACATGTCGGATTAAGCGTTCTAACCTATTGTCATTTAAAATTAATATTAGTAAGAAGAGCTAGTGACAAGAATCAAGACGAAGTACGTCAAGAGTTTAAGGAGAAACACAATGCTTGCTAAAACAGTGGTGTACACGTAACAGAGATATTGTGTGCGGCACAAATAAACAGTTCTACAAAATTTGGAAAATCCTGGAACAGAATTGCAACAATATTATGGGTGACAACCAAGCCTCCTACGGAGCTCTGTTAGCTAGAATCAATGAAGATAATCTAAATCAGGTTCGAGGGTAACGTTTTTGTTTCGTATTTACGGTATATTGAATTGAATCTGAGGTTAACTGTTCACCTTTAGCTGATACATGCATGTATCGATGAAGTCTGTGGCTACCCTGGACTGTCTCATCAGCCTTTTGCTAACAACGTCGATTTGAATAAGGATGAATACATTGTTGTCCACAAATTGTTTTTAAGAATTCTAAGTAATCCTGCTATATTACATCCTAATGAAGAAAAGGTGGGTGGCCAAGCGGCTACTATGCTTTGGTTCCAATATTATTCAAAGCTGCATTTCAGGTGCTTGAAGAATATTATCAAGATTTCCCATCTGAAGTGCAACGGAGTCTCTTAAAGTGTTTAAGAGCACGACGAAACCAGATGTCTGCAGTCTTTTTCAAAAAGCATGCCAAAAAATTTGCTACTACACTAATGGATTTTAACTGGAGACTCATAGTATGTCATACAAAATTTTTTAATTATTCCAACTAATTACAGTCATTTATACATGCTTCTATTTCAGTTGCTGATGGGTTCCAGTAAAATAGCTAGTTTAAAAGAGCCTGTATTACAATTGGACTTGCTTGTAGAAGATCAACAAGATGACCGTATTGTAGGCATTGAATTAAATAGGGATGAACTGGATTCTCTCATAAATGTTTTGGAATCTATACCACATTAATTTCTTTTGTGAATAAAGTCTTGAATTAGAAAGAAAGGAGCTGATTGATAACTTACCTTCCAGAGAATCACTTTTTGTGTGAAAAGTAATATACAGTGAGTAAAAATACAATTTATAGAAATGTTTTGGTGGTTTTGAAATATAAACGAGGAAACTAGCAGGAAGATGAACGATCGAGACTCGAGGATCGTACACTTATTTCACAGTTTATTATAGATTATAGATAAATGTAGAATAGTTTAGTTACTATGATAATTGCTGATCAAAGATACCGAAGACTGGATTCCCGTGTGAACAAACGTCTGTGATTCAAAATTTCGCATTAAAGTATAATCGAGACGTTTTGCTTCAAAGACGTTTCGGAAAACGATCGATAGGGCGAAGTATGGGGGTGTGGTGGCGCCGGTAGTGACATTGATAGTGACAGTCTTTTAGATAAAAAGAAAAAATATTGAGTACACCTTGTGATGGAATCATATTTGAATAGTGTCTCATTAGATGGAAATGGCTAATTTCGTTGTTAACATTATTACGGACGATATAATTAATGAAATTCCAGACAAATAAGGTTTACTATACAACTTTTAATTTTACTTCTTTCTCCTTACTTGTTATTATTCTCATTAATATATCGTTTAAAACCAATGGCCGCTCGCTTCCACTCTAACACTTAGAAGTATTCTGATAGAGGGCATACATATGCGTTTCTCCTTTCAACTTTATAATACTCTACCCTACGACCTTAATATAAATTCCGTCATAATAGTTAATTAATCTTTACTTCTGGAGATCCGTATAAACGTAGAAACATTGTATGAAAACTTGAAAAAGGTACCGTTTGGATGGTAGTTGTGCGGATCACGTAAATGTAATTAGGCGATATTTAATGATTATCATAAGATTACGATAGGCTTCGTAAGTGTTCTCATACGGAGAAGTAGCATTTCGAACTAACGTCAAATTTACACGAACGCGCGCTGCTATTTCTAGATTATATATCACTTACACTGCTCGACTTACTGTATATTTTACTTCGCGCGTCCGTGTTACGATACGCGAGCTACGTTCTGGTTTCACGAATGCATGTTATTTCTTAGATCTCACATTTTTCGAATCAACGGTACTAAGTGCGCTACGTGAGACTGTTTCCTCTCGTACAACTCATATCGCTCTGAACTTTATGTGACTGTATGAACGAGCACATATCTCATGTGGGTCCATCCGCACGTATTATGTGGCTGTGGGCGCGCGTGTATGTATGTCTGTGTGTTTGTGTGGGGAAGTGCAGTTCTTCGTTAGACCATACAACATTTTTTTTCATTATATAAAACAAGACCAAAGATGGTGAAAGAAATAAGAACAATTAATCGATTGTTCTTCAAATCGCATAGTGAATGTATACTTAATGTCTCTCGGCTTTTCACTCTTTTCATTTTTCATTTCCTCTCATTCATATACTCTCCTACTTCTCCCCTCCCTTCTCTCTCTCTCTCTCTCTCTCTCTCTCTCTCTCTCTCTCTCTCTCTCTCTCTCTCTCTCTCTCTCTCTATCTATGTATCTATCTATCTATCTTTCACCCGCTCTCAGTGCGTGTGCGATAATATTGTAGTAACGGCAGGGTGCGACCCTATGAGTATTTTCCCTCGAAATACGCGTACGTTACTCCGACGACCATTTTCTTATTCACACGCTACTTTATTATCAATTTCTCTGCTACTCTGTACCTCCTTGACTCACGCTCCTGTCCTTTCGAATCTCGCGATAACTTTCGTCGCTCGTGCGTTACGCAAAATCATGTACTTCGTTATCTTAATAATATTTAATGACACTTTAAAATTTCTACATAGCAAGGGAAGTACAACCCGCCATGGGCACGGCCCAATCGTAAAACTCTTCCTATCGACCATTTTATTATCAAAGAAACAGTCGTCGCGTGAACGACACTTTATCAAAAGAAATTCTTGAATTATTTTCATTGCGACACTTAATTATTTCAACGGTTTTTTCCTCCAAATCCTTCTTTCTATACCACCTAATAATTAATAGGTACACACCATAAAGTATGTTTTTGTGTGTGGGTGCTCTTCTTGCGATGTCGCCCGATAATACATTACATCTTTATCTTTATCTATTCTTTACTGTCCCTCGTATCACACCCTCATTCC